AATATTTTTTTTTTTTTTAAAAAAAAAAAAAAAAAAAAAAAAAAAAGGTAATATTTTTTTTTGAGAAATTACTTGGAATGACCCAAATTGATCATAAAATGACTAGAATGACTCATATAAAATTTTAAATACTAGACCCCATTTTGTAACAAGCAATGGGACTAAATTATCCTTTTCTAATTGCAATAAAAAAAAATTAATTAAAAATTGAACATATGGTAGATTTTATGACATCACGGGTAATAATAATCTGTAAAAGAAAGAGAGACGTGACGGCTATGGCGATTGGAATGCGATTGCTTTCTCTCAATTTCCCACGCCAACTAATTCAGATCAAGGCATGATCAATTTGTTAATGCTTATGAGCTTTTTGTTCTTCTTTCTTTACGGAAGAAATTTCTTTATAATGGATTGAAAGTTACTTTGTCTTCCTTCCATTTCATTTTTGCAATCTCAGGCATGGTTTCTTTAGCCATGAACGATGAAAATACAATCAAACTAAGTGTGTTTAATTCAAAATCAAGTGGTAATGAACTCATCATAACCACTTTGCTTTGGAACCAATTGCAATGGAAAGCACCAAGGTGTGTCATATATCGTCATGGAGGTTAAAGGAGTTCAAAATAAAATTTGGAGTTTTCAAACCACCATGAAAGGAACAACTTGAGAAAGAAGAAAAGAGGGGTGAAAGAGATGACAACAGTTACTATATAAATAATTAGCCCTAATTGTGGTCTTAAACCACTAGAAATAAACCAAAATCGGATTAATTGGAGTAAACCAGGATTCAATCCGAATTTAATTTTTACTGGTTTACTAAAACCCAGAATAATTAAACAAATCTGTCACTACGTAAAATAACAAGTCGGCCACGTCGTAATGCAACAAATCTACATCATTTGTAAATCTGTGATAGATTTGCCTTAAGTTTACCGTAGGAAGAATAGATTTTCTATACAAATCGGTCAAAACTCAACAATTCTGCCTTTCGAAAATAAGTCGATCGCACAAATTTGTGGTTTGATATAAATCCGTTGTGTCATCCGACAGACATATTTAAGAAATCGGAGTTTTAATACAAATCAGACAAAATATAGACAAATCTGTTGTGTCATACGATAGATATTTTTAACAACTCTGTTGTACGGCAGATTTGTTTTCCCCAAATTAAATCTGCCGACGACCTAATTTGAGGGACCCTTTTCTTTTGGTATAACTATAGCCAGGGGTAATTCTGACCACGAAAACATTCTAATAATTTGAAAAAAAATATGAGTCATTCTAGTAATATCACCATAAATTTGAGTCATTCTAATTTTCTTCCCTTTTTTTTTTTTGGACAAAACCTTTTAAGGTAATATAAAACATAGAACATAGAATATGATCATCAAGAAGTGTATTTATTCTTGAAGAAAACATTCCTCTTGCATGACTCTTTGAACATCCTGCCAACATTATAAGAAAACCTCAATCTTTGAAAAAGAAAAATTTGCGTGTGGCTTTTTTATTTCAAAAAAGTTGACAATCGATAGTAATGCAAGCAAAATATGAACACAAAGTGGAGGGTTTTATAAACGTACTGCCAAGGAACATCTCCTACGAGCATCCAGTCTCTATCCTTATCCTCGTATATAATAACGTATTCAAATTTCTCTACTTCTTTCAATGCAACTCCTGCAAAATATATACGCGTCAGGCTCCAACTCATAATTATTTTATAACCTTATGGAAACGTGCAGGACATAGGATCAAGGACGGTTCTAGACATTCACCTTTACCCCAAAATCTTAAAGCTCTTATACATAGGTCGCATGGCCTCCAAATTATCGATTTTTATATTAAGATTAACCTTAAAATGTTTAGGACCTCCTAAATCTCAAATCTGGCCAAGAATAGAATAAATTATTTTTCTAGCTTGACTATGTAACTATTAATCACTGAAACGAGAAGGACTAACCTAGACCAAGACAGCCAAAGAATTTCCCAAGAGCGGTGGCTAGATGAGTATAACCCTTGCTTGAACCAAGGTTAACCTTCCTTAAGTATGGCACACCGTCCATGCTGACTTTCACGTACCCTATCGCTTTCGATGATTTTTTATTGTTGTTCTTCTTTGTCCTATAAGAACACACCGGTGGCCACCCTACCACCGGACTCTTACCTTTCGGTAAAGATTCATCCTCAACCTCACCAGTGACAATGTCCACAGACGAAGCGACGCTGTTTTCACCGTCAGTATCTAATGATGATATCATCATCTCGGAGAACACCCTCTTTATTGTCTTCTTAGGTCCGCTATTAACTAATCTTTCACCGTTGTTATCTACTGGAAGGCCCAATCTTAGCTCTGTAATCTCAAGTCCTAAACCTTCCGTTGCCATTTGTATTTTTTTTCTTTTTTTTTTGCCTCTAGTTATATGAAATTTTGATAATTCTCTAGGTGCAAGTGATGATTATGTAATGCCTTTGTGCTTTTATGTGTTGTCTAGTTGGTTCAACAAAGCCCAACAATATGTTGACATGTGGGATATAAACTTTATTTGTTGTCTAGTTGGTTTAACAAATAATATATTGACACGTGATATGCTAATTTTCAAAATTGTTAGTATTTAGCTCTTTTTATTTAGCTTTGTGGAGGAAGACAAGGTTAGACCAAGGACATATCAAATGAGGATGTGGTGTTGCATGTTGGTCACATGAGAGACATAAGTTGGGTCCTTGTTTACGATAGCGTTAAATTAATTGAACAGATCTTAAGGCTGTTATTAGTGATGGGCCTAACTCACACCCAAAAGCTAGCTCAAGAGTGGAGGATTGCCCATACACATATATATTGCCCAAAGGACCAATATATCCACCGATGTGGGATATATTAATAGCCCCTCTCGAGATGTGGGTGGGAAACGGTCCATAGGGAAACAGCCCAAGCCCAACATCTCGGAAATACCACAGCATATGGGTCACTTTTTACAGGCTACATAGGTAGGAAACTGTTTATGTGGGAAATCATAATGCTGGGCCAAACCATGGGCTCTGATACCATATTAGTGATGGGCCTAACTCACACCCAAAAGCTAGCTCAAGAGTGGAGGATTGCCCATACACATATATATTGCCCAAGGACCAATATATCCACCGATGTGGGATATATTAATAGCTGTTAATATTTTTAGGTTGTGGTATGATTTTTCGGTAACTCTCCCGATATATAATTGAAGAAATCCTTCCCAAGCACCCCATGTGTGACCTTCCTCAATCTACTATAATAAAATAGAACTAGATTTTGATCCGCGCTTTTCAAGTGCGGAAATTTTTTATGATTAAAAATTTATGTAATTGGATTTTGTCTTAATTAAAAGAATGTTTTGGTATAAAATTAGTTTACCAAAATTTGTGGTGATAGTTGTTTTTCATTAGTTTTTAGTTTCAGTTTTTATTTTTAGATATTGTTTTAAATTTTGATTTTTGGTTTTTAGCTTTTAAGTTTCTATTTTTGATTTTCAGCTTTTGGTTTGGGTTTTTAATTTTTAGACCCGTTGAGTTAGTTTGAACTGATATTACCAACAAACAAATCTCAATTAATCGAATATGTAATTTAAAACTAAAAAGATGACAAAATAATTTTCTAAAAATTTTGAAATAGTTTATTTTGTAAATAAAAAAAGAAAAAAATATAACCTGCGTTTTCAGCTTTTGGTTTTGGATTTTAGTTTTTAGATTTGGTTTTTGGTTTTGCTTTACATTTTTTTAAATCTGTAAATTATTTAAGAAAAATAAAACAATAAATTATTTAAAAGTTACCATTAAAATTTATCAAGATAGAGTGATTGTTATTTAAAATAAAAAATATTAACATGTTTTAAAGCACATGATTTAAATAAGTGATTAATAATAGATAATTTGTTTTGTTGAAAATATTAAATATTTTTGGGCTAAAAAATATTAACATGTTTTAAAGTACATGATTTAAATAAGTGATTAATAATAGATAATTTTATTTTGTTGAAAATATTAAATATTTTTGGGCCTGAAAATAGTAATTGAGTTTTGATCCATTAAGGTGGAAAGTTTATTTAATGTGTTTTGGAGTTTTTCTTTAATACTAAGCCCAAAAACCAAACAATTAAATGTCATAAAAACAAAAATAAGCCCAAAACTCTATTCCATAAATAACCGCCGGTTTAATTTAAGTAATGCGGTTTAATCAACTATATAACTTGTATTATTTGTAACACTCTATAAAGAGTCCAAATTTAAATGATAACTTGTATCAGTAGATAAAAAAATGACTATATTTTAATAGAATAGATCATTCTTTTTATCTACTAATACAAATTATTATTTAAATTTAAATTTTTCTAAAGTGTTACAAATAATACAAACTATATAGTTGATTGAACCGTATTATTTAAATTAAACCAGTGGTTATTTATAGAATAGAGTTTTGGGCTTACTTTTGTTTTTAGAACAAAATAATATAGTTTGGTTTACTTTAAAAACACAAAAAAAACATTGAATAAAATTTCCACCTTAATGGATCAAAAAATCAATTACTATTTTCAAGTACAAATGCATTTAGATACATTTTCTAATTGATGCGTTCAGTGACTCTCTACTAACCAGTCGGGGAGATTCTAATTTATCAAAAGTCAAGCAAGTGGCAGTGAGTTCATCAATACTGGTTTTAACCCCAGTCCCTCCCTGTTTGATAACAAAAGTCTATCAGTTTTCTCAAGCTCCAAGAACATGATGCATCATAAAGCATGGAAGTACATATGATTTACTTGAACAGCCATACCATGAGGTTTATTCAAGACAGTAATGGCTGGATCCTGGCAAACCTATTCATAGTTTATATCTATCAATCTATATAACATTTCTCGAAAAAATATAAGTGTATAGATTTTAAGAAAATCTTATACAAGACCAAACTGCAAACGATATTACGCTCTTCTTTACTGCAACGATAGCTTTCTCTCTTAGCAGGAGGTGGTGCATCTTGAAAACAGTTCTTGTCCTAACCAAGAGATGACAGACAAAGAAGACTTACCCTTTTAAGTTTGCTTCTACTTCTTTGTAGTTCATCACTGTCACAACTCATAGGAACTACTTCTCTTCTAACCTGAATCACATTTACTCATTTAACTTCAAGCTTTGTTCAATCTTCAAAATACAATCTTTCGTTGATGCAATTCTGGGTTTGAAGAGAGTAGAACCTATCTTAAACGAAAAAGTTTTTGTACGAGATTCCTAGGTAGGTCGGGACGGCAATGAAGAATCCACCTCAGCACCGTCGTTGAGCCTTTGACTATGGAGTGTCTCTGTTGAAAGAGAGCTCTTTTCCTAATGCGGCGGTGATGGTGGGAGAGAAAGGAGGTAGAGTTAACCATTTCCCTCTCTGATCATCACCATCGTCACAGGCGAGAGGAGAACTCATACTTCGGGAGAGAGAAAGGAGAAAACCAAACTCTGCTTCTTCTAACATATGTGTCCCACAAAATCCGCTTCTTTCTCTGCTTAATTAAGAACCAACTGTTAAGGTATTTGTTATTATTCATTTATTTTAATTACAGTTAAATCTTAAGAAGCTCCTTAAGAACCATGGTTAATCCTGATTTAAACCATTTGACTGTGTTCTCCACAAAACAAAAATAATATCAAGATGGGGCTTCAAACAGTGGCTGAGAGAACTGATTTTTTTCACCTGACCAATTATGCTTCATCGATTTATATGGATACAAACAGATTGGTTTTAAGAAAAATTGTGGCTTAAAACCAATGCTTTATGTGTAATGCAAGGGGTAGGTATGCAAAAGTCCAATGTTTCATTCGGTTTTCCCAGGACTGGCCCTTCATGTATGAACTCCAACATAGCTTTCGCCAAATAGTATGCGTCATTTCAAACATTTGAAATGAAAAAAATGTGAGTAGATTTGACTTGACTCTACATGATGAAGAACAGCAAGTTGGTCCATGTGAGATACTATTAGTCATAACTATTAGGCAAACGCGTTATTTCCAGTTCATATCAAACAACATTGGTAGCCCCAAGTGTTAATATTACTTCCCAAGTTTCCTTGCATTTATGTCTCATTAATTCACTTACTATATTGTACTAGATGCTGGATACATGCACTACTAATAAGTATCTCACCCAAATCCTTTTGTCTAATTTCCCACATGCTCTAGCAGAGGAGAGTACTATCAAATGAAATTAGAGTACAACTATGTTCCTACACCCGTAACCAAATGATGGAACCGCATGAACTCTGACACTCAAGTTGAAATATACTATTAGTTTGGCTTAATAATTCTTAAGTTGAAATATATTGTGGTTGTACTTATGTACAACCAGATTCAGTATAATTTTTGGTTGATAATCATAGAGAAGATTAAAATTTCATTATTTACGGATATGTAAGGATATATTATGATAACAAAAAGGCAGAGATCACAATAAAAGGATTAAACAATAATCACTCAGTTTGTTAATTATTTTTATTGTACGAAGATGCGATGACCGTATGGTTTGCATAAAGATGACACACATCTTTTTAATCAGAATTGTCTCAGTTAGTTTCTAATATTTTATCAAATTTGATGTGAATTTGAATGACTATTTAAACGAAAATTGATTTCTTTTGTTGAATAAGTTAAAATTATGTTTTGAGATTCAATGAATGCATAATGATGATTTCCCAAAACACATAAAAAGTGAAATATCAGTCAATATTATAAATCATAATTTCTTCGAAAGTTTTTAAACAAAAAAACTTACACTCCTTTAATTCCATTGTATAGTTATTTTTTGGCTAAAAGTGAAAAGTTACAAAATATATACTATATATATATTTATTTATTTTGTAGAATAAGTTAATCCAACCGATCATAAAAGTGTACATATAAATGTACAGAAAAATACATCTAATTTTTACATAGAAACTTGTAAACATATTATAAAATGAAAAAAAAAAACTAACTTCTAAAACATCTTATAAAATGGGACATAGATTAGAATTTATACTTGACAGCATCTTAATTCAAATCCTAATTTGAATATATTCGAATAAAATTTCTTAATTTTTAAATACATCAAATAATTTCTTTAAAATTTCTAATATATATCTGATATATGCTTCTTCTGTATGTATTGAACTTTAAGCTATTGGACTTTTTGTGCCCGACCCGGGATCCACCAAGCGCATGAATGTCTTCATTTGAAAGAAGCTCAATACAACCGAAACATACGAACATTGCTTTAAAAAAAACGAACATTGCTTAAAAATACATATATGTCATGACTCACGTCACGACAATGTATTAAAACGTGGCATTGATAAGTATGTGTACTTAATATCATCTATTGGAGAAAACAAGACCTAAAGTACTTATGATCTTCATTGAATCCAACACGAAGATATACAAATCTAGATTCGAAAAGCTTATCAAACCATTCTTTTCTCCTGTAAATTGCTGCAAAACATAACCAAACATGTATCAGAATTTTATTATCTATGCACACACACAAAGTAAATATATACAAAATTGCATACAAGATACTCTTATTATACTAACCTTGTGGTCCATTCGCGGTTTCCCACCAAACACGTGACAGTGTAAACAGCAACAACATGCTCAAAGATACAAAATACAGAAGCTTATTAGCCATTATAGGTAGAGGAATGTGGAGAGACTATTTGTTGATGAGATGTTTTCTCAATTATTTTTTGGGTTTTTGCCAATGCAATTGAGGATAGATTTATAACTCCTCAAATGTTTTGACAACGTTTTTGATCATTGACCGTTTCACATATTTTAAAATTGACAAATTAATGGCTTTAGGTCCTTGCTTCTATAAAGATACATTATAAATATATAGTCGTTGTCACCTTAAAAAAAGTTGAAAATATCAATTATTTTGTTTGTCTTAACGTGTGCCTAACATTTGTTCAACCAATAAGCTTTAACGAAGATTAATAAATGCCTGTCGTAGTTATTTTACATTGCTCATCTCTTTGAGAAGGTTTCCGACCGGGAACGTGTCTATGTGTTGAAAATTTGGTACTCTATTTATTACGCCGTTAAACTACACATCAACCATGATGTTCTCAACAGATTGAAATGAATCTAAGCATCCCAATTGTCAGATTCCATCTACATGTTCTAATTTATATTGAGAAATTGACATGAAACTATGAAAGTACCATAAGTTGCGAGAAAATACATTAAAGATATTAAAGTAAGCAATTATTTTGTAGCAAAGCTTGCATATAGCGTGAAAGTGAGGAAATGACATGAAAAATTCATATGTTGTAAGAAAATATATTAAAGATACTAAAGAAAACAAAAAAGGTTGTCAGAAAGTTATGTCTATAGCGTGAAAGTGCGGAGAACCGGATTAATCCGGGGAAAAGAAAAGGGCGAACAAAGCCAAATCTCATGGTGATGACTGATGAGTAGACGTGTTAGATTTATTTCACCATATTCTCAAGGATCAAATATATTATCACTAGCTACTGAAAATAAAATAACTTAAAATTGATATAGCCAGAGGAAATATATTTTAAAAAAGGAAAATTGTTTGTCCCGTACATGGATTATGAGTTTTTAATACAAATGTAGTGGTTAGCTATAGTGAAATTCTCCTTTAATTGAATAACCAGATCTTGACCCGTACAACCGTATTGATTTTTTTTTATAGTTTATAAAAAGAATTATCAATAAATAACAATAGTTTACTTATAAAATCTCGCAAAATACTAAAGTGATAGATGTTAAAGTATCATTTTAACACACAACATTAAAATATAAACTATCATTATTTATCTTTAGTATATCTAAATAAATGTTAAAATGTATTGTATGCAAATTATAGAAACTAAAACTCTATATTACAGAAGATTATATATTTGATTATTTCATATTAAAATTTATGTATCAAACTCAAAACTATATTAATAAAAAAATAACAATCAATAAGTATATAAAGTAAAATATATAAAACAAATTACTATATATTAATAATGATGAATAAGAAACTTAAACAACAAAATTATAGAGTTATATAATATAACATTAAAAGTAAATTATATATTTAAATTTTTTATAATACTATTAAAGTTTTATATTTATAAAATGAAAAATCTGTGTGGGTCAAACTCTAGTATATAGTTTTTAATTAGGATTTAGGAATATAGTGCTATTTAGATAAATTTTAATTTCTTAAACAAAAATATTTGTATTTCAAATAAAAGATAAAGATATGGTATGATATGATAATTAAATTATGTAAAATGTGATAACTGTTTTAAAGACTTGTCCAAATAAAAAATTATACATGATAACTCATGATTTCATTTTAATAGTATAGGTAGATAAATATATAAAATATTATTTTAGTATATTTGAAATATAACTTCAGTATTTGTTTTTTAACATAATCTATTTAAATTTTGTAAACAAGTATTTTTGAAACTCCATCAACTTATATTATTATTCTCATTAAAATATAATTACAAATATTTTAGATAATTTTAAATTTTCATTTATAAATAAAATAATATTTTTAATAATATTTTATGATAATTGGAATTTAAATTCAATGATTTACGAAAATACAATTTAATAAGATGCCAAAAGATTTTGTTAGATTTATTTCATTTGTATTTCAAATAGAAAGATAAAGATACTTAAATATATATCATTAAATTATGTAACATTTGATAATGTTGATAGTCTTACTAAGGAATAGTCTATTTTTAGAAAAATCATACATGCATCAAGGTTGTGAATTTTCTTTTAATATATAAGATACTATAATTTACTCTTTCCGTTTCCCTTTAGATGAATTTTTAGTAATATGCTTTTTAAAATCAATGATTATTTAAGTTTGTGTACAAAAATACAACTTTTGATATCAAAGGAGTCTATTACCAACGAAGCTAGACCAAAATTTACGATGAAACAATCTAACAATTCTAATTAACGATCATTAATAGTATTTTCAGCCAAGGAATGAACAAAATTTTATTAGATTGAAATCTTCTTCTAAGGGATGCAAACTCTTTCGGCTATGTCGAAAATTTGGCCATGCATGAGATTCGTCAATCATCAAGAAAATGTCCTTGCAATCCAATCTAAAGTACTAACATGTTGAATATCATATCATACTTTTCATTGTCCAAATGCAGCGAGAATATCATTTCCTTTGATCTTTTACCCCGTAAGATATATTTGATATGACACATCTTTTAAACTCATCCACATCCCTTATATTGCAATGTATTACCACATCCATTATATTGCAATGTATTAGTACAAGAGCCATCCATGCAATCCTTATATAAGCATAAGGCCAACTTCAATAAAACACTAAAACATAAAATTTGGTGTAGGTTCATATTTAAAAACATCTTCAAAAGATTCTCTATAATTTCAGATATAGAGTTTTTTTGCTCTCCAAAAAGAAATTTCAGAACTTCAAATTTGAAATTTTGGGAAGTGAAACTTTATATTTGAAGTTTCACTTCTCAAAAATTCAAATTTGAATTATCATCTTTTTATTTGCAATTTGGTCTTTATATTTACATATTTTATCGTGATTTTTAAGTATTTTCTTATTTATCATTTTAATCTTCAAAAAAAGTTTATATCTCCCAAATCTTCAAATTTATTTCTATAAATTAAATTTTACACATAAAATCAAATCAAATTTAACGGATAAAATGCTCAGTCTTACTAACAACAACAAAAAAGCGCTTCTCTGCTATTATAATCAAGAAAAAAAATTCTAACATCAAGAAAACAATTATACTAAATTAGATAACATGTTATACTATTAAAATCATATTCAACACACTAATCACTTTTATCCCACTATATATATAGATACGATAACCTAACTAACCAGATAGTTCCATTTAATATTTACAATAGATTTCAACATGCCAAGAAAATACTCTTGCACGTACACTCGTAGATTTTTATTCAAAAGAAAACTTATGATCTCTATACAACCCACACACAAACATATATATTTATATGTTACGTTATAACTATGTATAACCTAGTAACAAAAAAAAAAGTATAACCTTGTAACGAAAATCTAGTGGTTATAAAATAGAAAAAAAAAAAGTAAATTTAACGGTAAGACTTGAGAACAGAGCCACAGAAACTGCAAACGACGGCTCTCCAAGATTTCCAGTAAATTGGAACGAAGCAAAATCTCGTCGACGTCTTCATGTCGGCGATGCTCGCGCCATGGCCACACCGTGAGCAAGTTCCTGCCGCGGGTTTGCTCCTCTTCACTTTCCTCTTCTGATCCACCAGGAAACAGAAACAAACCATATCTTCTTGATTAAGGTTAGACCAATCAAGAATCAGAAATGAGAACTCTTTTGGATACGGCCACGATTTAAGACAGGACTGTTTCTCTGTGTTTTCTTTCTTTGATGGTACAAGTGGTGGGTTTGGAGTTTTTTGGTGGTGTGGAATTTTCGAGCTTATAAATAATGATATATAGAACGAGTACTTAATTACTGAAAGTTAAACTGAATACTCGTGTGGGGAGTTCAAAAAAGTAAATATTTGAGAGATTGGACCATGTACACGTACAGTGCTTAATAAATAACCTGTTCAGATACTTAAAAAAAACATACAGTTTAGCTCAAATAAAAATATTATAAATATTTTATATGCAAAGCAGGAATAATATCTATTATTAATACTAGATCCGATGTCCGCGCTACGCGCGGAAAATGTTTGAAATTAATATAAAATAAAACATTAAAAATTGTATTTTGAATAAAGATACATTAATTCGGACATTAATCGGTTCTTATCCGACCGGGATGTGTCTAGGTTACTCCTTATTATGTTTCATTCAGTTCAGCTAGTTTCTGTTCGGTTTCTGTTATTTCACTTAAGTGAATATATTTCAATAACTGGCTAACCAAAATCTAGTAACAAATTCACCAATAAAAACAAAAAGTCATTAAAAACCAACAAAAACGAAAATGGCAATAATAGTAAAGTTAATAAAACAAAACCAGAAAATATAGCTTCGAAATCATAATATGGATTATGTATAGAAAAATACTGTAACTTAGATATGGGTGTCCCGACATCTTGGACAACTTAGGTTATGGCGAAGCCACCCCACGATGCATAAGCGATGAAAAATGTGGTTGCACCTCAGCGAATTCACAACCACTGCTCCATTGATTTTGTCTTGGCAGATGATGCACATCTTCTCAAGCTCCTCCAGAACAGGTTCTCTTCTTGAGTCTCGGAGGTCGATCGTAGCTACATCAACGTCTATCCTATTGATCGCTCTTTGGTTGAAATCTTTTATGGAGAGTACAGTGCGGAGATGTGTACTTATATTGAAGGGAAAAACAAAGACAACGGGTGGCATAAAGAGAAAATTAAGCCTAAATTATTTATACATCCACAGCATAGCAAACATGAGTTTTTGTATTTTCTAATCATTGTGTATAAGACTCCTCTATAACATAAACCAAATGTAGGAAGCCATTGACTATAATCACTATGAAAATAACAAAAACGCAACCTTTTTTAAATCGTAAATTTGTCCTTTTTATCTTAATAATATAGTATTTTAAAAATATTAAGAGTATTCTAGCTGTTAATATATAAAAGAACTAATTTTTTAAAAAATATGCTGAATAAGAATCCTCTGCTTATGCTTCAATATAATCGGCCTGTGAAATCAGTTTTAAAAACAATAAAATCATCAATGGCTATCACTCAAACATAAAGTATGAAATCAGTAAAAGGCATAAGCATAAACAAAAGAGTCTAACAATGATGGTCTAAATGATGAAAAGTCAAAGGCTGAAAATGAAAACAAACGAACCATAGTATTTTAACAAACCAAAACCATAACTTTAAACTTGTTAGCCACATCTTGGACGCTTGCTTTCAGCTGTCACAGCCATTTCTGAACTTCTTTTCACACTCTCATCTCCAGATTCTGTATGCCCTAATGGAAGGACCATCCTCATGATTACCCATATGCAAAGTTTCTTCAGCAGAAGGAGAAACCACGTTGTCTCCCAAGTCCCCTTCAGGCTCTTGAGCTTCAGGAGGGAGTACCTTAGTGACTGTCAAAGACTGGGTCTTGCCGGTCAAATTGTAATTAGACACCTTGATGATGAACTTGCGGGTCTGTCCAATGGTATCAATAAGAGCTTGAGGAACCGGGACCAAAATGATCATCTCCAACGCTCTCATTGCCCTGACATAATTTTAAACAATTTTACAAACTATGTCCAGATACTTGATGATGAAGCAAAATCAAAACCAAAGGCTTAGACACATATCCTTACTACATAGGTCTTTAACAGGTTTTGAGGTCCTATATCCAACATCCAGCAAGCCTTCACTAAAATCCTTTCAAACTATGCCTAAAGCCTATAATTAACATCCGGCAAGGTTTTACTATAATCATTTTCAAACTATACGTAAAGCCTATAAACACCCTTTCAAAATTCGATTTCAGATCAGTATAAATAGGTCTGTAATTACCTCAAAGTAGCTTTTCACCAATTCCGAAGCTTGCTTTCCAGTTAGCTCAAGCCCAGCATCACCAAGGAGCACAAAAGACGGATGGTCATTGTTGTCATAGATAGGTATAGCTTCATCCATGGGCTTTAAATTTTTCAAAGAAGGCTGTAGCAGCCTAGTCCCATAGGTATAGCTTCATCACAGGACCACTGCAACATATCGAAACTAATATGGTCAGAAAAATGCTATATGTATAAATCAAAAACACTGGCTATAGCTTACTCATGTGTCTGCACATGAAGCAGAATTCGGCGTGTGGAAGCTAGCTCCTCTTCATCAAGCACAAAACTCTCATTCAGAGTATGCTCATTCACCAGTTTTATATGACCTACATAAGCTGCAAGAGCAAAACATATAACTTAATTCTTTAAAAATAAAATTGACAAATATATTTGTAAACATACTAACCGATGCTACTAAGTACTAATCTATACACCAAACAACTGAAAATCCAACAATCAAACTTAAACAAATTAAATTGAAACATATAATATATACACGCCAAACATCTGAGAACCCAGAAAGCAATCTTAAACAAATGAATTTCAACCCATTGTAATTAAAAATGCAGAGAGCTTACCATACAGATCGCCCTTGAGGTCACAACCCGCTTCAAGCTCCTGGTATCCATGGAGCCGGAACCAGTCTTACGTAGTCTTGCTCTGAGATCCATAAAAATTGTTCAGTCTGTAAGCAGTTCCGGGAATCATGTGTGGCAGATAGGTGTTCATCCTCCCTGGTGTGATGAATCCCTGGATTACAGTACCCTGTTCAAGATGTTAAAACAATGATGTTGTTATTATTTTTACTGAGCAAGGAAATAAAAAAATAACAAACATTGACTCCGACACCATAGTCGACACAACAAAAGAAATAAACAAAAAGTGAGGACACATACGATGAAAGCTTTGAGCTTTGATTTTTTTTATGCAAGTAACCACAATCAAAACCAATGAATGTAACGTTGGAAAAATAAACCTTAACTAATTAGAACATCACCAATTAACACAATAAACTAACTTAATCGGTAACAGGCATGAAAAAATAACAAACGTGTTTTCCTTTTTAATACTAAACAAAACAGCAAAGTTTGACAATCAAACACCAAAGCATCTCAACTTGAAAACAAAAAGCAAATCCTTAACTGATAAGAACATCACCCACGAACACAATAAGGCTAACTTGATGGCTACCAACCATAAAAAATAAAAAAATGTTTTTTTCCTTTCTAATAATAAACAAAATAGCATAGTCACATAGAAGCCCTAGAACGAACTATCCCGCACAGATTTAAAAAATTTATTGCAAAGAAAAAAAATTAACAAACAAAGAGTTATGAAAAACCTCCTCGTCGATGAGTAGCATCTCTAGACCAATAAGCAATTTCGGGAAGACGTTTCTAGCCTCCCAGAAATGGATCAGACGAAACCTCAGCTCCCCTTCTTGTGGTCCGAATTTGACATCTCTGAAGAACAAAACTTTATCGGAGGAGACAACTGACTTCCCCTTTAGTTTCTTTGAAGTAGAGTCGCCGGAGTCAGCTATGGATGAGGAGACACCTCTTCTCCCACTTTGATTGATTGATACGGTAGAGGGTTGGACGGAACGCTTGCTCAACCTGGTGGATGAGACATCGGTTTGACTGTTTGTTTTCTTGGAGTTGCCATCACCGGAAACAATATATTTCCCGTTAGATTTCATCGTCGTTAATGATTGAGAGAGAGTAGACAATTGTAAGTCGGAGAAAAAGAGAAACTATGGGAAGAAGTGAATGAAATAGAGAGGTAGAAATACGAAAGGAACCCATTAATGCCTAATTTTGAAGGATTGATTGCAGGAAAGTGGGTTGTGTGACGTTTCGTCGTCTCAACGGTAGAGAATTTGTAACAGTGAGAAGAGGCGAAGAGAACAGAGGAAGGGAGACTCACCATCGATGAATCTATTTTAGGGTTGGCAAAGTTATACGCTTAATGGGCCACATACCATTAGTTTTTACGGATGAAATAAACAGAATTAGTGGCCCAACAATTCGCTTCGCTTGATTACGTCTGACGTGGAAACAAAAACGCTTCCCATTGGCTAATTATTTAAACTGACGTGGACACTCTCAAAATGCTTTATTATGCCCTTTTAATTATAGTAGATTAAAAAAACTATTCCTACTTTATATGACTAAATTTTGTTCTAATATTTTATTGTCTATGAAAAGAGATCAAGTATAAAAGTGTTATGAAACTTATACTTGTAAAACTTCTCAACCATATTCATGTGTTTTAGTATATTTCATCTACATTACTACACATACTATATAAAATTGTAGCATAAATATAATTTATTTATACCAAAATTGTACAAGTTTGAAAAATACAAAGCATACGTAAGTACGAAGTCTCTTCATATTAAGGTAAATTGTAATTATGATTTTCCTTAGTGCCGAAGGATGTGTGTCATGAAGAAGATGTGAGTAGCTGACACGTGAATAAAACAGTTGGATGTTGAGTTTGTCATTGTCCCTTCTCAGAAAGATTAGAGGATGGGTCATGCATGACAAAACCTCTCCTCAGACTTTTTTTTTTTTTTTTGTCAATCCTCAAACTTCAACTATTTCAAATTTTTATATATGTTTTCGTCTCATTTCACCAACGAAAATTGCATTTATAATGCATATACTCAAATATATTTCGGTGATTAATTGACGGTTCCAGACAGGTATGCCAAACTTTATATTGTTGAATCGTAGAAAAACATTTAATGTGCTGTTGAAAAATGGTACAACATTTTTTTCATACGGCACTCATGTTTTATTGTTTAATAAAGAGAATTAATATTTGAAACTTGAATGGAAACTCTGAGATTACGGAAGCTGTTTCTCTAAAAGTTGAAAGTTCTATCTCACACCCAATGTGTTTTCTAAGTACTAATTATGTTGGGATAAGACTGATTACTTTCTCCTACAAGTGTCTGCATCATTATGAATAGTTTTTTCAAACGACTTAAACAGAGTATGGTTGAGAACATTTTATCATCCATGTTTCTGGCAACAACTGTTTGCATGCATCACTATATCATTGTATACAGTTGAGATTTGAGAACTCTTCTCTCTATGACTAAGAGTCGTTTTTTAATGCTGATTCATTCATCTAAATATAATAAATTCATAATCAAACATGTCGTACATAAAAAACGGAAATAGGTATTGCAAAAGTACACCAATACAAAAGAGGAGAAAAGCTGATACCAGTAGGTACCCTTAGATATGAAGAGTATAAACAGATCTTAACCATTTGTGATTCAGAGCCCCTGAATTGAGAACCACTGGATGTTAACCTTGCAACTCTTCCCATTATAAGTCGAACTTTGTTTGGATCGTAATACAACCATGACTATGTATATTGCTCTAAATAATTAAAAAGCCACCAAGATCAAAAGTTTGAAAATCAACGAGGGAGATCAAAGAGAGAAACGGTTTAAGATTTAAACCTGCGACTTTCCACGACTTAAGAAACTATAAGGTTATGACTATGAGTCTATGAGCCAAAGAAAAATTACCATTCCACAAAAGAAAATGCTAATTATGGGTATTGATTGGAATGTCATTTTATGCAATGAATGTTAGTGTGTAGTTAAGCTTGCTTTCAAATACCATAAGCTATTTGTATGTTGATACTTTGGACATACTTAGGGTTGCTTTGATCTCAGCAAAAAAAAAAGAAAAAAATTGATTGTAAGCACTTGATCTTACATTTTTATTGTTAAACTAATTCTACACTGATGTTATGTGTTTTTTTAACGCTGAATAATTATAGTATTACAAACTAAAAGAAATATTATATTGATACTCATTAAATGGCTAACTCATTCCTATGTGAAAATAGTTTGCGCAAAGATCAAAACGAAAATGGAAAATGATTAGAAATGGTTATAACTTATAAAAGATTGGGCTGTGACGAGTCGAACAAAAAAAAGAGAAGAAAGCAATGGGCTGGACCAAGCCTGGTGTTCTGTTGCATCGTGTCCAAACCCCATGCGAGGCAACAAAGCATGCGGGAGCAAATTCTTAGAACGTAGAGAAGTTCCATTTAATTTTATACATACTACAAATAAGAAATAGCTCGCCCATACCCGTCCCCATCTGTGACAGTCAGAGGAGAACACCACGCCGTTTATTTTAATCCAAGGCGTCATTAATTATAAAAAAAAAAAGACAAAAATAAGTTCCGACCTGCCGGAATCGAACCAGCGACCTAAAGATTTGCTGTCACAGACTACAGTCTTCCGCTCTACCAACTGAGCTAAGGTCGGTTATTGCTTTCTATCCATTTCCAAAACTATAATTCTAGTCTTAAAATCATTAGATTGGTTCTTTTCTTGATTAGTACAAATCTGCAAAACTAAATTGTAGAACTTGGACCAAGGGCACCTTTTTATATGTTTTAACTTTAGTTTTTTCATCCATTGAGAATAATCAGATACTAGGCTACTATTTAATCACAAAGTATTGTAGATTGATATAATACTTGCATCACATAAATTATTTAAGGCTTTATATAATAGAATATTATTACGGTTATAAATATGTTCAGGATTATTTATTATTTTGAAATAAATATTTTTCAGCCTTTATTTATGTGAAGAATCTTTATATTTGTACCTGTGGACAGTACTCTTTTCATCATCCGAAGAATCTTCCATAAGTCGGTACCAGTACTTCTCGTTCAGACCAATACTTTCTAGAGTTATTTGATCGTAACCGTTCATCGTCTAAGTCAAACACATTAATAACTCAAACCATAAATCACAACCGTCGGATTAGATCTAACATAATCGTACCAGAACACAGCGACGTGGGACTCTTCACCACTACACAAATCTTGTAATAAAAGATAAAGCGTCCGTTTAAAAGCTCCACAACTCGAACAACCTGAGCGAGTCTGACTCTGAGTTATCACCGAGTCAACTCGCCATGGCTGCTTCTTCACTCCACACCTCAATATCCCCGCGTAGCTTCCTCCCTCTCTCGAAGCCTTCTCCGAAACCCCACCGCTCCCAAATCTTCTTTAGGAACAAACAGAGAAGCTGCGTTTCGTGCGCGTTGGTCCACGATGAGACCGATGTGATTCCTGTGCAGAGCAGTGACCGTACGGACCACGAGGAAGGCTCAGTGGTGGTGATGAGTAACGAGACGGAGAGAGATGTTAACGAACCGGTTGTTGTTGGGTTTGGTGCTGATGGTCAGCTTTCGTTTGAAGGTTTTCCTTCTGCTTCTTCAGTGGCTGATATGGGAGACGAGAAGAGTAGAGAGAGCGCAGAGATGGAGAAGATGATCGATAGGAGCATCAACGCCACGATAGTTCTAGCTGCTGGTACTTACGCCATCACAAAACTTCTCACCATCGATCATGATTATTGGCATGTAAGTATTGATACTGATGTTGCTTGACTGACAAGTAATAAAGATTATGGTCACTTTGATGCTTGAATCTAGTTCTTGAATGGTTTTGTATAGAATCTTGAACTTTTTTTATTTTATATGGTTTTTGTATCCCTCAGGGTTGGACACTGTTTGAGATATTAAGATATGCTCCTCAACATAACTGGATTGCTTACGAGGAAGCCTTGAAGAGAAACCCTGTTCTTGCCAAAATGGTCATAAGTGGAGTTGTGTATTCTGTCGGAGATTGGATAGCTCAGGTTCTTGTTTTCTCTTTTCTACTACTCTAAGCTTTGCTAACTTTCTATGGTATTAACAATCTTTCTTTCTTTTCCTCCAGTGTTACGAAGGCAAACCTTTGTTTGAGATTGACAGAGCAAGAACATTGAGATCAGGACTAGTGGGTTTCACTCTCCATGGCTCTTTGTCTCATTTCTATTACCAGTTCTGCGAGGAGCTTTTCCCTTTTCAAGATTGGTGGGTGGTTCCTGTTAAAGTCGCTTTTGATCAAACCGTGTGGTCTGCTATATGGAACAGTATTTATTTCACGGTTCTAGGGTTTCTTCGTCTTGAATCGCCTCTCAGCATCTTCAAAGAATTGAAAGCTACGTTCTTGCCTATGCTAACAGTAAGAAACTCTCCATCTTTTCTCACTTGCAACGTCGATCCTGGTCACAGCAGGATGAAACATTCGCATTTGCCTTCAAATTTTAAAGAACTATTAATTTAAAAATGTTTATAGCCTCATAAATCTCTAATCCGGCTATGTTCCCTAGTTTATGTTTTAAGACTAAACAAAGTTTGGTTTTGAATGCAGGCAGGGTGGAAGCTTTGGCCGTTTGCTCATTTGATCACATACGGTTTGGTTCCTGTAGAACAACGGCTACTCTGGGTTGATTGCGTGGAGCTTATTTGGGTCACTATACTCTCAACGTAAGTGTATCAAACTAACTTTTCAAGTCTATAATCTTCAGTGAGGTCTCTAAAACTATTGTTTACTTTTCTTGATTACAGTTACTCAAATGAAAAATCAGAAGCTAGAATCTCGGAGTCTGTCATTGAGACCTCTGCGAGTTCTACAACATCCATTGATCCCTCCAAGGTACTTATTACATTTCCTGAACCTTTCTCATTTGAATGAGAAAAACATTGATCTAATAAATTTGTGTTGGTTTATAGCAGGAATGAGAAAGCAGCATGCCAAGAGTGGGGTTGAAGGTCATTGTATTGTATATATACACAGAGTTAGCCCAATAGAGTGACCAGAGATTTGAGATTGTTACAAAAGATGAAAATATTGAAAATTTCAAATGGATGGTTCTCTCTATGTGTAAGAAAGTTAACCAGTATCTTGAATAAACCACATAATATTTCTATTCGATGATTGTTACAAAGTTTATCAACACACACACAGTAATAGACATCAAGAATGATGATAAAGATAATTCAAATGAATGGATCTATGTATAAGAAAAAAAAACCATAGCCTGAACTACATAAACATTTTTTATTAAATCCTTAAATATCATAACTTCATTAAGCAGATCACATTGTTATCTAAATGGATCTGGAAAAAAAAAAGTCTTCCCGATACATCAAACCATCCAAAAATTATACTTACATAACATGAAGTAAGAAAAGGTTTTGTATGGTACCTTTGAGCAAAACCAAGAATGATTTTCCAAGAAAAGAAGATAACGATAAATCAAGCAGAAGACATATTACAGAGTCGGCTTGGAGTTGGCCGGAAAGTCCACCGCCGGTGACTCATCCGATGGTGACTAGATGGCGTCAAGGCTCTCTTCAAAATCTCTCTGTTTCCATCACTTGCTCTCCTCATCAGCTTCTCTCTGCTTGGAACAATATAACCGTGCCGAACGCACCGAGCCGAGCCAGGCCGGCCTGAACACGTGCAAGCTAGCCGGGTCCTTAGACTCGATCCGTGATTTCTCCGGCTGGTACGGTTTGGTTCTGTCGCCGGCATCTCTAGAACTTCTCGTGGTGGGAATCTTCTTCTTCCAAACAGCATTACTCTGTCTCTGTCTCTAGAAAAAAAAACTTTGTTATTGGTTTGCATGATTTACACATATATATATTTATAAGAACATAATTTCGTTGACGTGGTCCGTTTCTTACAGCATAAAAAGGGGTTAGTACGGTCTGGATTCAAATCTGACTGGCTTTTTAATTTATTTTGAAGATCTTATAGTTTAAATAACAGTAAGATAACTGGTGGTGATATTCTAGTGACGCTTGAAGAAAATAAAAGTTAGCGAAATTCTGGTTCGATCTCTGCTAATCACCCGAGCTACCTTAAATGGTAAAAATATGTAGGATTAGTCAGTTGATCTTGATAGCCGAACCCCATAGTCATAAAAAAATAGTAAGATTGAATTTTCATTGTTAATGTTTATATATATATATATATATAATAATAATAATAAAACTTTATAAATTAATAATGTTAGGGTATTAATATTTTATTAATTTATAAAAAAAATGTTTTATTATAAATTTCTATTGTAAGATATATTATTTTTAATTAAGAAAAAGATTTAATTTTAGTGTATAGATAGTAATTAACTTTTTGAAATTTAACATATATTAGTTTTATTATATTATTTGGTATAAAATGTGTCTCATAATTTAAATGTAATTTTAGATATAATTTTACTAAATTTCATAAGAATATAATAAGTGTTAAGAAATATAAAGATAATGTCATTGTAAATGTAAAATAAACAGTATAATGGTTGGTTTGTACTTATATAAATGTACATACATATAAAAGTTTTATAATGTTAATGAGACAACATATTTATATAGGATTTTCTAAAAGATTAATTTATTATTATATTATTTTATGTATATTTTGAACTAACTCAATCTGAGATCAGATAAATTTATTAACTTATAATGTTCAATTAATTTATCGAATATTAGTTATAGAGTTTCAAGTATATATGAGTAACTAAATTAACAGATAACAAATGTATCTAATAATTCATGGGTTCAACACCAGGCGGTGGCGAACTATCTCTTCCATGTCACCAAAGTGATATTAGACCTAAATCTAGGTATAATCCTCTCGGGTGAAACGGACGACTGTCTAACTAAACCCAGAGAATGACCTATGAAACAGAGAACTCTGGATTATTAAAAAAAAAAAAAAAAAACTACGGTTGGCAATGACAAGGAAACTTAGAAAAAAATAAAGTTTTTCGCAAACTGCACATTTCTGCCAACTAATCGTATTAGCTGTAATGAGAAGAGTAACAACTAGCAACACCTTCTTGGCAGCTTTTGCACTTCTTTTAGTCATTTCGACTTCACTTATTTTTCTTTTATGGCTCATATTCGTATTTTCTAAAATATTTTTTATTATACCATTCAGAAACAATAATGGTTTTACTTTTTATATTGGCAATAATGATCAGAAATGTTTGTCAAAAAAAAAAATAATGATCAGGAATGAGAAGTTAAATCAACCACATTTAATCAAACCATGTTGTTAATTGATATCTGGTGATTTGAAAGAATTTTTTATATAAAGTTTGTCGATTTTAAAAATTGAAATATTTGTTAAATTTAGAAAGAATTGCAGATAATTTTGTATAGTGTGAAATTCTATAAAAATAAAATATTATAATGATTTAAAGAATTCAAAGAATACATGTAGTATTCTCAAAATCTTCCTTTATGAGTTAAAATATTAGAAAATATAACTCTTAATAACACCTACTTTAACAAAATTTATAAAATCAATAAAATCTAAATTTTTGAATAACAAAATTTTTTTTGTATAGAATTATAAAATCATCAAATCAATAACACTATATTATAATGAGAATATAAAAATCAATAAACAAATAACACTCTTGACTTGAAAATTCTTATAATCATTATAAATCTTATGTCCATTAACACCCCCTAACTGTAAAAGTATAATCTCCGTATACATTAAAAGAGAAGTCACTTGGCCACATGTCACTCATACAGGCCTTCTCAAAGGAATTCTCTTAATCTTATTGGTTGATTTTTTTAGAATTTCTTTTTTGATTTATTTTTATCATCGACAACCTAATAGGAAAGCAACACTAATTATTAACCTCATTACATATTACTTGCACAAGAATATTAATTAATACATGTATTAATAAGTTTCCTTATTACAAATACGGTAAACCATTTACTCTTGATATCATATTGATTACATTGCTTAATGACATTTAACAATTTGTATCTTTTTTTTTGGTCAAACACTACTTCATTAATGGAACTTAAGCTACAGAGTTTTCTCCTAACAGAGAGGAGTTTTGAAATAAAAACAGAGCCTCCTTTGCCAATTGGTCAGCGACCACATTACAACGGCGAGGTACAAACTTAAAAGAGATAGAAGACAGGGATTTACTCAACACACTGATGTCATGGAGAATCCCTTGGAGAGCAATCACAGACGTGTTTCCTGTGATCAGATTAATCAATTCTTTTGAGTCTGAGAAACAGACCAAATCATTGATGTTAAGAGAGATTGCAGCCTTTAATGCCGCTTTGAGAGCCAAAGCTTCTGCCACTATAGCTGATGCTACCATGGGACTAACCGTCGAGCCTTGCAGTAGAGAAGTACCGGCCGAGTTCGAGCATATCCATCCCAAGCCTCCTGCACAAGAGGTACTATTCCAAGCTGCATCAGAGTAACAGAGAGTAACATTTTCTCGCTGTTGAGTTTGAATCACCCTAGCTGGGCAGTCTTTATACGAAACAGAGTGCAGTTTGGCGCCCGCCGTCGAGTCTTGCCACTCTCTTGCGTGTTTCATCGCCTTGCCTAAGATCTCTGTTTCCGAGAAAGACTTATCTTCAAAGATCAATTGGTTTCTAGCTGTCCAAAGCACCCACATAAGCCATGGGTAAAGAGGTGTAATCAGTCCCACAGGTGGGAGGTTAATCATTCTCGTGCAGGCTTCCAATAAATCCTCCATTGATGTTACATTCCTGGGACAAGGAACAAACCGAGCTGGAAAAAGCTCCCACGCTTTCCTAGCAAATGGACAGAGAAACATTACATGGATAGTGGTTTCAAGCTCACCACACCGTTTGCATTTCCCATCTACCATGATGCCTCTTTTTTGGAGAGCTTCTCCCACAGCGACCGCTTTGTTTTTCAGCTTCCAAAGAAAATTCCTGAGCTTTGGAGAGCAATTGACATTCCATACACATTTTCTCCAATTAAAGCTCCCCCTGCTATCAGCAACATTTATCTTAGCAAGTGCATACCCCGTCTTTGTTGAATAGATTCCCGACTTTTCTAGCAGCCATACTAGATTATCTCTCATACCACAGTCACTGGGAACCAACTTTCTTATCATTTCTTCACACTGAGGTACCACTTGCTTTATCTTCTCGACATTCCATGTAGCAGAACCGGGAATCATTAAGTCGCTAACTAGCAAGTGTTGATCCCGTTCCTGCGGAGGGCCGGTGGGGCGTAATTGTTGACTCGTTGACAACCAATTATCACTCCAAACATTAACAGATTTTCCATCTCCTATAACCCAACCTACTCCTCGTTTAATGATTTCTCTTCCCGCCAGAATTCCTCTCCACCCGTGTGATGCTGCATTTGGGGCCGAGCAGTCAAGAAAACTTTCATGGCGACAATACCTATTAAGGAGAGTTTGCCCCAGGAGTGACGTTGGGTTTTTTAAGAGCCTCCAGGCATGTTTTGCCAGCAACGCATCGTTGAAGACCTCAATCTCTTTAAAGCCCAGTCCCCCGGCTCCTTTAGGAAGAGTAAGCGTGTCCCATGCAACCCAACACATCTTTCGCACCTCCGGTGTTACGTCCCACCAGAAACGAGTAAGCACCGATTGAATTTGTTTGCACAACGATTTTGGGAGCTTAAAGCATGACATAGCGTAGGTTGGCATGGACGCGAGCACTGATTTGAGAAGTACCATTTTCCCTGCACTTGAAAGGTACCTAGCTGTCCAGCTGTGAGACCGTTGACGAATCCGGTCTACTATCTCCGCAAAAATATCTCTTTTCCTCCTTCCGAAATGCTCCGGTAAGCCTAAATACTTACCAATACCTCCCTCATTACTAATGTTCAGCTCCTGCTTAACTCTTATTTTTGCTGCCATATTAGTTTTTGAGGAGAAGGTAATAGCCGACTTCGCTCTGTTTATACATTGCCCCGAAGCTGCTTCGTATCTCTTCAGGATCAAGGTCAGGGTTTTGCAGCTTTCAGAGTTGGATTTACTGAAGAACATTGTGTCATCAGCAAAAAGGAGGTGATTTATTGGCGGACAGTTCCTCCCGACCTTAACCCCCGGTAAGGTACCTTTCACCATCTCTTGATGACACAGCCCCGATAACACTTCCGTGCATAGGATGAACAGATAAGGGGAGAGCGGGTCGCCTTGACGGAGGCCTCTCGAGGGATTAACGCAGCCTTGCGGTCCCCCGTTGACAAGGAAAGAATATGAAACCGAAGAAACGCATTCCATTAGCCAGTCGATAAAGGTCTCATGGAAGCCTAGTCGTGAGAGGACTGCTCTTAGGAAGTCCCATTCAATCCTATCGTACGCCTTGCTCATATCCGTCTTAACCGCCATGGAAACATGTTTTTTCGCTCCTGATTTTCTTAGGTAATGCAAGATCTCATGCGTGATCAGAACATTGTCTGATATCGCCCGACCAGGAACAAAGGCTGATTGGGACGGGGATATCACTGAGTGTAACAGCGGCTGTAACCTCTTGGACAGCAGCTTCGCTATAATCTTATAGTGAGTCGTACACAGGGCTATTGGTCGATACTCAGAGACACGCTTCGAGCTTTTTGTCTTTGGGATAAGTCTGATATGTGTTTCATTCTGACGCGGATGCAGGTGACTAGTTTCAAAAAAACTTCTGATATCTCGATAGACATCATCCCCGATAATTTCCCAAAAATTCTGATAGAAACCAGCTGAGAACCCGTCCGGCCCGGGTGCTTTGTCGGGGTGAATCGCAAAAACAGCGTCTCTCACCTCAGATTTTCCTGGAATGGCAATAAGGTCCCTATTGTCATCCTCGGTTATCTTTGGGGACAGAGCTTCTTGCACCACCGAGAGAGAATCTGTGTTTCCAGCAGTAAATAAGCATTGATAGAAGGAGACAAAAGCACTAACA